TTTCTAGATATTATATTTCGATGCTCATGTTCTGATCTCTCTTCTAGAAGGCAATACGATAGGTTTGTTATATCCTATAGATGTCTCTTCTCTGAGGTTACTGTAGCTTGCTGGGTTCCTATTGTAGAATGCTAGAACAAAGTCGTATGGACGTACGCTTCCATCTGGAAGGAACGCCGTATGTTGCCGAAGACACAATAGGCACCGGCGCATATGGGGTCGTTTGTAAAGCAAAACATTTGGTGAGTTTTTTCTGTCCTAATCTCTCCTTTGCATTGTTTTTTTTTTCGTTGATTATGTTAATATCCGTATTTTCAAAGCTGCTGTCAAATACATTTCCTAAAAAATTTTTTTAAAAAAGTGAGTTAGAGAGAAGACGGGAGGAAAAGATATTAGCAGATCTGCAAAACAAGTGGGCATAATAATGATTGTTCCTTTAAATAGGAAAAACTTAAACAATGTAGCACCTAAGCATGTACATGTAAAAGTTCATTTAGAAGAAAGGAAGGAACAAAATTCAGGGAGAAAAAGTTGAGGGTTATAAGAATTTCAGAGTGAATTTCTGGCAACTTCTGTTTCTAATAGATCAACAAAAACCTTCGCAACCTTCCCGAAATTAAAATGACTCAAAAAAAAAACTCGCGAGATGTCCCAACAAATGCTTCTCTTTCAAGTTCTTTTTTTTAACTTATAAGCAATATTTTGGGTCAGAATTTAAATTGCCTCCTTTTAAATTACAATTAAAGATATTTTTGATAGCACAAATTAAAAATGTATTTGATGATAAATCTCGCAAAACTAGGAGGTGCAGGTTAAGGTATACTAGACCTGCAACTCAGAAGATGTTCACCTCCATTAGGACTCTATGTGTTAGCAGGATCAATTAGAAATACAGACTTCCACCAGTTTTAAGTTTATGTCGGTTTAGTTGAGAGGGACTATCATCTGTTAACGCACATTCGCATCAAGATGATCCAATCCGAAAAAAAGGAAAGAGGCGCTTCATTTTGAGAAGCCATATCATCCAAATTATGAACATATCAGAACATTTCATTGAGAGCACTTTTTTCTAACAGCCTTCACAACGAGCCGTGGCTATCAAGAAAATTCCCCGCGCTTTTGCAGCGCATACGCTTGCAAAGCGATCACTACGTGAAGTACGTATCCTACGCGAACTACGTCACGAGAATATCATTGCTGTGTTGGATATGTTCACTGCTGAAGGCACCCATGTAAGTAGTTTACACAATGGATAGTAGCATGATTGGACCGCTCTCATCCTGCTGCAGGGTCGTGACATCTACATGGTAATGGATCTCATGGAAACTGATCTGCATCAGATCATTCACAGTAGGCAAACGCTAGTAGAGCAGCACTTTCAATATTTCCTCTATCAGCTTCTCAGAGGCCTCAAGGTGAGCAGTATCGAAAAATTTGTGCATTCTAAGATAAAGCAAATCTCCATTTATAGTATCTCCACTCCGTCGGTATAG